TCAGGTGGAATCTCTAGTTTTAGTGGGTGGGTGGGTTTGTTTGAGAAAGCGTCTCACAATGTAGTTCAGGCTGGCCTGGAACTCTCAGCTGTCCTTGTGCCTCAGCTTCCCAGTTGCTGGGATTACAGGCATGTGCCTCCATGCCCAGTTCCAATTTTAGTTTTTTGAGGAATCTCCTTACTCATCTCCATAGCAGTTGCACTATTTACATTACCTCCAACGATCTAGAAGGATTCTGTTTTCCCCATAGCCTCTCCGGCATTTGCTGTTATTTGATTCCTTGATGATCGCCGTTCTTTCCAGAGTAAAATAGATTCTTACACATGATGGCTTGAACTCTGTTGGAAGGGCAATAGCTGATCAGGTGGAATCTCTAGTTTTAGTGGGTGGGTGGGTTTGTTTGAGAAAGCGTCTCACAATGTAGATATGATGGCTTGAACTCTGTTGGAAAGACACCTAGAAGGGCAATAGCTGCTCAGGTGGAATCTCTAGTTTTAGTGGGTGGGTGGGTTTGTTTGAGAAAGCGTCTCACAATGTAGTTCAGGCTGGCCTGGAACTCTCAGCTGTCCTTGTGCCTCAGCTTCCCAGTTGCTGGGATTACAGGCATGTGCCTCCATGCCCAGTTCCAATTTTAGTTTTTTGAGGAATGTCCTTACTCATCTCCATAGCAGTTGCACTGTTTACATTACCTCCAACGATCTAGAAGGATTCTGTTTTCCCCATAGCCTCTCTGGCATTTGCTGTTATTTGATTCCTTGATGATCGCCGTTCTTTCCAGAGTAAAATAGATTCTTACTATGGTTTTAATCTGTATTTCTCTAATGGCCAGAGATGATGAATGTTTTACATTTATTTATTGGCCATTTGTACTTCCTCATCAGAGAAGTGACCATTTATTTCAGGTGCCATTTTTTGATTGGGTATTTTATTTTTGAGGGAGTCTATTTTTTTAAATTCTTTATGTGTTCTAGACATTAATCCTTTGTCTAAGGAAGAGCTGGTAAATTTTTTTTACCATTCTGTAGGTCATCTCTTCATTTTGTTGGTTGTTTCTGTTGCTGTGTAGAAGCTTTTTAATTTAATGGAATGCCAATTTTTTATTCTTGGTACTATTTACTGTGCAGTTGGGTTTCTGTTCAGAATATCCTTGCCTGTATCTATGACTTCAGGAGTTTTATATATTTTATCTTCCAGAAAGTAACTATGTCTGTGTGCACATTTAGATCTTTGATTCATTTTTATTTTAGCTTAATACATGGTGAGTGAGAGAAGAGTCTAGATTCTGTCTTCTGCATATATAAAACCAGTTTTCCCAGCACCGTTTATTAACAAGGCTATCTCTCTTCTAATGTAAGTTTTTGGCCTGTTTGTCAAGGATCATATAGTTGAATGTGCCTGGGGTTGTTTCTGCATCCTCTGTTCTGTTCCATTGATCCATATGTCTGTTTCTGTGCCAGTACCATGCTGTTTTTACCACATTAGCTTTGTAATATACTTTGTGGTATAACTCCTGCTTTGATCTTGTTACCCAAGATTGCTTTTACTATTCTGAGTTTCCTCTGTTTCCATAGGAATTTTAGGATTGCTTTCTCTATTTCTGTGAAGAATATTGTTAGTATTTTTATTGGGATTGCATTAAATGTGTAATAGACTTTTGGAAGTATGGTCATTTTGACTATATTGGTTTTACCTGTCCAGAAACAGGGGATAGCTTACCATTTTCTGATGCCTTTTTGTTCTTCTTTTTCAAAGTACTATAGTTTTCATTGTAGAGATCTTTCACTTCCTTGATTACATTAATTCCTAAGTATTTAATTTTTCTTGATATTGTGAATAGTATTTTTTTTTCCTCATCTCAGTAAGTCTATTACTGGAGTACAGGAACACTATTCATTTTTCTGTGTTGATTTTGGATCCTGGTGCATTGCTAAATTTGGGTATTAATGTTAGCGATCTTTTGGTGGAGTTTTTTTGATCTTCTATGCAAAGGATAATCTTGTCTGCAAATAATGATAATTTGACTTCTTCCTTTCCTGTACATATGGCTTTTTTTTTTTTCTTTCCCTGATTGTTTTTGCTAATGTTTTGAGTACTGTGCTGAAGAGGCATGGTGATGGTAGACACCATTGTCTTTCGTCATTTTAATATAATGTTAGCAGTAGGTCCTTTCTTCTGTTTCTGATACTCTGTCTTCACATTGGTTATTTCTGTTACCTATACTTCCAATAGAATTTTTAATCACCTGAGTTTCTGTTTGTTGCCTTTTTCTATACTCTGATGCTTTTCTGTGCTGGTCATTCATTCATGGTTTGCATTGTTTTATTTACCTCAGTTAGCTTTTTATTAGTATCTTTTGTTCACTTGCTGATCGGTTTTGTTATCATATCTGTTTTCCTTTCAAATAATTCTGTCTGGCTGTGTTACTTTGATATCCTCCCCTTGGACACTACATGGATCAGCTTTGGAAGACTTGGGAGTTTTTGCAGGCATTTTGTTGCCTTGTCCACTCGTGTTTCTGTTTGTTAAGCTGAGGATTGCAGGTTGATTAGAATAGAAAGCTTTGTTGTTAGTATGGCAACCTCTTTAGTTAATGTCTGCTTTTCTGTCATGTTCTCTGGTAATGACTATTGACCTTTCCTCTGTCCCAGGATTCAACTAACTCTGTTTATTTTAGAGGAGTGCTTGCACTGTGTTTGGCCTAGTACCCATTTCACTGGGAACAGGCCACAGTATTGTTAGTGACACAAAGGCATCCAGAAGGAAGAGAGTCAGCACCAGAATCTCCAATTATAGTATAAACACTGACAGACTAAATATCTACCCACAGTAATATCTACCAAAGAGTACTACTTTACTTCTACTACCAATAGAGCAGTATTCAACAGCAGTAGCATTGGCTTAAATATCTAAAGATTCATATCTCTTTCTGACGATTTATGAAGCTTTACAGTTATACCAGCAAAGGTAGAGGGTCTGGGAAACCAGAGAATGAGAAAGATAAAATTTGAAAAATTTACCAGTGAAAGGTGAAAAGGAAAGATAGGAAATTCTACTGAGGAGTGAAAAGAATTTAATAGTATTTGAAAACAGTGATTGAAAATAATGAACAAGAAGGAAAAAAAACAGTAAAATACAGGAAATGAAAGATAATAAGAGAAAAAAGTTAAAAGGAGAAGAGAGAGGGAGAGAAAAAAAGGGGGAGGAAAAAACCCAAACCCCAGAAGAACCTCTCCCTGCACATTGGCCTCTCCACAGTCTGGCCAGCTGATTAGTTCTTGCTTTCGCCTCTGCTCCTCCATGCCAAGGGGAAGCAAAGCATAGAGCCAGCTTGGAGGTGCCCGATGATCATGACTGGGGCAGCCCATGATGACTGCTGCCCCACCTCGGCCTGCCCTGGGGCAGCCTGTATCGCACAGACTTAACCTACCAGCTCTCGGTTACGGATCTGGGTGTACAAGAAGATAGAGACACATCTTCGTTCCCTAGGGATCTTCAGTAATGAACGTCAGTAACTTCAGTAACATGTGTCCTTGGTATTTGAAAGAAGAGGTGTGCACTTCTGGACAATGTAGTCAAGGAAAAGTGGAGCTGAAGCAAACTCTAGGCCTAGTTAAGCATGACTATAGTTTTAAAGATTGACTAACAATGGAGTAAGACAGTGACTTATAGAAATGAAGAAAGATAAATAAGACACACTTAAGAACCAATGCTAGACACAGCACTAATGTATAAAACTGCAGGAGTAATTTAGGTCTCAAATATAGAGGGCTTAACTCCTTTATTCCTGGGGTAGATACAGCTTTTTGATTAGGAGAATGATCTTTCAAAGAGTGATTTGTGAACATCAGTCTGCAGTGCATTTGACGAAGGTAATTGAAAAAAACTAGAAACAACAAAGACATTTTCTAGCTGCAGAAGAAATGGAGTAAGTTGATGCTAAACTAGTATAGTATCAACAGAAAGAGAAAGGAAGGGAGAAAGAGAAAAGGAGTAAGTACTCTTAGGAGCCATGATGAAGGTGAATAACTTTGGCCTCTGATATAGATATGAGGAAGAGCGACAAGTCAAAGATAGTGTTCAAAAATATGTAACTAAAACCAAATTCAAACTTCAAAGAGGACAGAAGTTATGCGAGTTCCATTCATTCATTATTTTACCCCCAGCATTTTGCCTAGTACTTAGCACATAAGTATTGGCTGAACGTATGAATACACTTTGACAAAAGTGGTGATGTGGAAAAAGTTGGCAAGGAGTGAGCTCCACGTACACATTGCTGGTAATAGCAGCATATCTTAACGTAAGTGTCCAGTGAGTAGCTAAAAACCTAAAGTGGAGTTCTCAACAGAAGTCACCTGTATATGAGGGTTTAGGAGTTATCCACAGAGAAAAAAATAGGTGACACAGTAGAAAGTAATATCAGAAATAAATAAGAAACGAATAGATTTGGAAGAACCAATGAGGGAAATTGAAGGAGTGATCCAAGAAGCAATAGATTGCTGTCAAAAAAGAGAGATTAAAATTTGCCAATTAAAGTAGTTAGGGGAAGTGGTAATAAAGTCAAATGTATACTGTTCAAAATTCATATTTTCCTGTGTTGGCTTCAACATGTCTGTCAGCTTTGTTTCAAGAATTACTATAAAAATTCCTGGCTGGGCTTGGTGGTGCTTGCCTGTAATCCCAGCACTCAGGAGGCTGAGGCAGGAGGATCGCTGTGAGTTGGAGACCATTCTGGGCTACATACTAAGTTCCAGGTCAGTCTCAACTATGTAGTGAGACCCTGTCTCAAAAAAACCAAAAAAAAAAAAATCCTACTTTTTCAGAATGTGGGACATTACTATGCTATATGTCCTTCATGGGTAGATATTATGATTCATCTGTTAATTTTGTAGCTTAACTAGTTAAGATCTCATAAATGGTGCACAATGCATATCTGTGTTGGTTGACTGAGTTTTCCACTGAATGAGTTACGTGGAAGTCAACCTTGCCATGTATATCTTCCGGCCTTCACAATTGGACCAAACAAGATACAACAGGAAAAAACTGTTGAGATCTAAAAACTACATCCTATATAGAAGATCATTTAATTTGGCAATTACAGGAAAAAGCTATGAAATGGGGGAGATTTACAAGAAATAGAAGATCAAAAAGTACAGGGGTAGGGAAATAGCTCAGAGGTAGAGTGCTTGCCTGGCATGTGCAAGGTCCTGGGTTCCAATTTTCAGCACTGCCCCCCAAAAATATAAAAAATATGCCAGGGTATTTCAACATCAGCCGTATGTAGGAGCAGAGATGAGAAGAATCACAGCAAAAGGTGAGTGAAACCCTGCAGAACATCGACTTCTTCAGAGTTGATGCGAACGTCACTGTGACTCACAGGCATCCTAGCATTGTGCTGCAGAGAAGTTAATGCCTCGTTCTGCTGCAGTGCCAGGCAGTACCTGGCATCTATAGTGATAACACCACATTATCCGTGAAATCCGGGAACCATGAATTACATTTAGAAAAGAGTTCTACATGAAGAAACAGGTAATTTCTAAGTTAAGTTCTATAAAAATTAAATTTTGGTTTTCTAAATATAAAGCAGGTCATTCCCCCAAACATGATATAAAGTAATTTCTGTTTTATAAGTGCATTCTTATATTTCACACACAAAAGATGTATACATTCCTGCCTATTACAGACTTGTGATGTGAACTGTATCGCAGTCACGCAGCCTGTGGATAGCACAGAGTAGAGAGTAGGTATATACGGACCTGTATAGACTTGCACGTATTTTTACACACAATTGAAGTTTAGTATTTGTGATTGCTACTGTGAACTTTGTGAATTGACTAAATTTTGGTTTTCTAAATATAAAGCAGGTCATTCCCCCGAACATGATATAAAGTAATGTTTCTGTTTTATAAGTGCATTCTTATATTTCACACACAAAAGATGTATATATTCCTGCCTATTACAGACTTGTGATGTGAACTGTATCGCAGTCACGCAGCCTGTGGATAGCACAGAGTAGAGAGTAGGTATATACGGACCTGTATAGACTTGCACGTATTTTTACACACAATTGAAGTTTAGTATTTGTGATTGCTACTGTGAACTTTGTGAATTGTGTCAAGAGCAAAACCAAAGTGACCATTTTTATTTTCTGAGTAATCGCCTTACGTGGTGCCTTTCTCTCTCTTTCCTAGCTTCATTTCAGGATCTTAGATTACACACTCACTGGGTGTTATGCAGACCAGCATTCAGTTCAAGTTTTTGGGTCAGGAAAACCAAAAATAAGCACACGTAAGTTGTATAGATTCAAACTAACTTAATGGGTTAAAACTGTAGTATGTTGTTATGACTTAAAGTAAAACTACAGTGTAATAGACTTTTACAATTGGAAAATAATGCCAATTTATATTGGCCCGATCCATTCCCACCTAACAGTTGGTGAACTTTACCCTGCCCTCTGCCTTCTTCTAAGAAAAGTGTGGATGAGCAAAGATTGGGAAGAGCCGTGATTTGGTGTAAAGGTGGATGTGCTTTGCTTTGGTTATAATTAGCCCTTTTCTTCGGAAGCAGTTCGCCAGGTCTTTGATATTGAGCAGATGGTGAGCAAGTCTGGCTCCAGCATTTTATTGGATGTACAGTTTTGGACAAGTTAGTAAACTTCTTAAAGTTTTAGTTTCCTCACTTATTAAGTGTAAATAACAGTGTGAGAGATATTCCTTGTGAAATGGCCTGCCTGTGTAACAACTGTTCAGACTCAGCACCCCCCACTCGGACTTAGGACCTGGATCTGGGCTTCCAGCACAGGAGTGGGAACAGCAGTCAGCCTTAAGGTGCAGGACCATACAGTGCTGTGGTTTTCGCTGATTAGACAGCACGGTACTGTAGTTTTATGTTCTGTTACACATTGCAGTACTGCATCTAAGAGTTATGCAAATGAAAACAAAGTCATCAAGTGGGAGTCTCCTTTGACCATTTCTTTGTTCTGGATATTGTAACGTATATACTCATAGTTCCTCATTTAACAACCTAGTCACAGGACCAGAACTCAGTCATTAAGTGAGAAATATCTGTATTTACTCTAAGCAATTTCTTGGGAGTGACTTTAATGAATTCCATGCAATGTCACCAAATAAGCCAGTTTTCTTTACCTCCCTACATTTTCTCTGTGTGCTCTTACGTCCAATTTTCTTTTGTTTCTTTAAGTGAATTCATAAAAGTACTACAGTACCTTTGTTTTTATTTTTTATAAGAAAGTATAATATTGAATAGGCAGTTGTTTTGTCAAAAAACAGACCGATATTTAACATTAGCTATGGGAAATATATTCTCTCTATGAGTAGTAACTAAAGTATGTTTAAGCATTTTGTAAGTATTACCTAAACATTTTGTAATTTTCAGAAAGTATAATACAAAATGGGAAGTTTTAGTAATATATCTGCTTGGTAATACATCAGTAATATGCTTCATTTTTTTTTTAACCCAGGGCCTCACCCACGCTAGGCAAATGCTATACCAACTGAGCCTTTTTAAAATTTTATTTTGAGGGCTGGGGATTTAGCTCAGTGGTTCTGCCGCCTGCCTTGGGTCCTGAGTTCAATCCCCAGTACCAAAACAATAAATTAATTAATTAATTAATTCAAATAAATAAATAAATATGTTATTTTGAGACAGTCTCACTGAGTTGCCCAGACTGACCTTGAGCTTAGACTCTTCATGTGTCACCCCCCAAGTAGTTTTGATCACAGACGTGTACTGCCTCACCCAGCTGTACCTACTTCTCAGTTCCCAGTATATTAAATGAAGAAACTCACTTTAAATGGATCATTACAACCAACCTTTTATTTCTTTCCTCTTTTGTTTCAGAACATGATTCAGTTTGTGCAACTATGTGAAACCTTTATTTTGCCATCATCTCAACAGAAAATACGCTCTTCATTCACAATGTACATTTCGGTCCCGAAGTAGTAACGATGCTAATCTCAGTAATAGCGACTAGCGTTTTTCACTTCCTATATGCCAGGCACAGATGAGCGTTATTACCTCAATTCTGCATCCCAGAAAAGTTCAGTTCAAAGTGGTTGCCACTTTTGCAAAGTCACAAATCTATTAAAACAGGGTTTAAATTCGACCTGAGCTATACAGAACCAGCAAAGCGACCTCTGTAAAGTGTTGCAGGGAAGCTGGGTATTGATGTGCAGCTTCGACACTTTGAGTAACAGCAAGACCAGACTCAGGACACCTCCGAAAAGGAGAGGGCTACGGAGGGAAGCCAACAAAGCACTTCTAAATGTTTTTGCAACTAAAGCTTTAGCCTATAAGAAATAGAATTGAGCGAGAAACAAGGAAAAAATAGATAGATTTGCCATCAGTAGATGTTTCGTATAAGTTAAATGATAGATTGTTTGAATATTTAATGAGCTCATATTTTTTAAAAGGTAAAAGTTAAAGCCCTGGTAAAATAAAATGAATACTTCAAAGTAAATTTCAAAAAATTATGATTTTGCTCTTTTGTTGAATTTTTGGTAAGATAAAATTGGTTTATCATTTTTCTTTTTCCTTTTTTAGATCAGAAACTAATTTCATCTGATTATTACATCTGGAATTCTAAAGCTCCTGCTCCAGTAACATATGGATCATTATTTTTGTAATTTTCTCGTGTTTAAATAGACTTTATTAAGCTGGGGTGCTGGTGAATACGTGTCATCCCAGAACTGTGAGCGGCTGAGGCAGGAAGACTGCAAGTTCAAGCCCATCCTGAGTAACTTAGTGACTTAAGCAAGATCCAGTCTCACACTGAAGAGTGGGCTGGAGAAGCAGCTCCGAGTGAAGGCCTTGGGTCCAGGCACCAGTACCACGTATATACTTACAATCATACACATAAATGCGTAGACTTCATATTATGGTTCTATAGCTTATATGGAATCACAATCTTTTATTTCTGCTCTACATTCATTTGCGAGTAAAAATAATGAGTGATTTAATTATAAAAATACTCATTTACTGTTTTTAGTCTGGTATAAGTAGTTTCAAAGAATATTTTAAAGGCTGATGTCTCCATTTTTTGTTACCTTTGATTTTATGTGTGATTCAAACGTAGAAAAGTAGTTGATTCATCCTAGCACATTTAGACTAGACCTTGTACAGTGCGTCACAGTATCCCTCCTGCACCTGTGGCAGACATTGCTAATCATTCACAATCCTCTTTCTACACTGAGCCCTTCTGATTAAGAGCTCGGGCTGTATTCTCAGTGCTGAACTTCAGGCAGCCAGATTGTAGCTGAGGTGCAAGGTGTAACTGCTCTTCCAAACCTGAGTAATAAAGGCCAGAATGTGCTGTTACAGAATGCCACAGACCAAGTAAGAAACATAAAATTTCTTGAAAAATAGACAGCTAATGGAAACAAAGGAAAATTAATAACAACTTGTTCTTTAGCAGTTCTAGTCTACTGACTAATACAGAATCCACATATTCTATATAAGGTACTATTTGTCTGACCCTCCTGTTAAGAAACTTTTAATCTCATTTTGCTTGGGACATCCTCGGACATGTTAAGGTGGATGGAATACTTTCCAAAGGTGAGATAGTGTTTTGCATTATCATGTCTGAAGCCAAGCTTTTAAAGATCAGTTTAAACATAATACACTTTTTCCATGCTTTCCTAAATTAAAACCTATTAATCAATGAATTCATATTAAAAACTCAAAAAGCCTTTATGTGAATATTTAGAGGTGAATATAGGTCTTGTTTTATGTCTTATTTGGTATTTTTTTTTATTTTTGTTGCTCTTCTTATTAACATTGCTTTTATTCCTTCAGAATCATCTAGGCATAGCCTTTATTCTCTGCTTGTTTCTGTACTTAAGGTCACATGTTTTCAGAGCAAGTTGTTGTCATGACAACTTTCATTGTCAAGTTGGACCTTAAACAACCAAAAAAAAAAAAAAGTCTCAAGGTCCTCAGAGCATAGTTCATGTCAAAGTTCTTATGCAAAACAGAATGAGAAGCATTATAAAAAGTATACAGTACAGGGTAGTATTCCATACTGTTGTGTCTTGGGTTTTTTGTTTGTTTGTTTGTTTTTTTTAATGAGTCTCCTCAGGAAAAGCTTAGAAAAACCTGCTAACTCCTCAAGAAAGGGCCATAATAGTTTGAAGAGATAGTACATATAAACTTAGGATTTGAAATACGATTTTTTAATTAAGATCAATCCTACTCATTATAAACCCTCATTTTCTGTAAAGCATTATCAAAGCATAAGGTTCTATGTTCAGAATTATCCCAAGTAAAAAGAAAAAGAATAACTGCATGATCAGGATTTTAACTTTCTCTTCTGACTTAATCAGTAGCAAAAATTTCACTTTTGAGGGGGGAAAAAAAGAAAGAAAATACCATTCTCCATAAGTTATTTATCTTTCCAACTCAAAGTTTAACTTTTCCTTCTTTTAACGTTAATAGAGCCACTTGGTGATCCTGAGTAGTGTACAAATGCACTAAGGTAGGTGAGAGGAATTTATCTGGAGAGTAGGCAGAGGCTCAGTATAATCCCTGAGGCAAAACTTTCTTCATAAGCAAATTAGAAAAACCGGCAGACTTTGGTTTGGCATTTCTAGAAGCTGGAGGAAAGTCTAGGGATGACTGTACGGAGCAGGGGTGGTGGGGAACCTGGGCCCTCTGTTGCCCTTCCATTCTGGCATCGCACTGCAGAACTAAACCAACTTCTGTTTTTCACCCCAGTGAGATCAGCTGGTCACACTGTGATGCTTTTGATTTTGTCTAGAAACCTGTCACTTCAGGATCATTTCTGAAGACAAAGTCTGTTTCCCGTTTGGTAGGTGACCTGTTTAATGTTTTCCCTGTGTCTGGGAACTCCTTAGTGTAATTAGCGACCTTTGAACTCCACAACTAATCCTGAGCTATTTTGTATTCCTTACTCATCTTTAAGGCTGGACCTTTCTTTTCTTCAGAGTCCGCTGCCACAATTAAAGAAGAAACAGCTGCATTTCAAAGGGATTCCGATTCCAGAAGCTTAATCGTGATTGACATGTTCTTATTCTAAGCTATAAGACACTCTAAGAGTCCTTTCTTGGGTTAAAACTTCAATCATTTTCTAAAAAATTATCTCACTATGGATTTTATTCATTTTCTTTGATAACTATTCTTTGCATTTTTAAACTTGAAAGATGCTTTGCATTTGCACTGAATATGAGCAACTACGTCCAGTGAAAGATTTGAATGGTGTCAGACCTGCTCTAGATGCAAAAAGGCTGAATTCCCTTTGGTGCCAAAATATGATTATGAAATCTGATGTCTATCATAAGGGTAATTATTTTTCCCCTAAATCCAAAGGGCAGAAAGAAAAAGTTAAATTTCTGAAAATGAGCTCCAGAAAAAATGGTTCATAACTTTTTAAAGCCAGCAATATAGTAGGCACTGCCCTTACAGTGATATTTTACACTTCTTAAGTAATTAACTCATTGTCAAGTTTGAAGTGTAAATAGCCTTGTCGGGAACTCTTAAGAGAATGGTTTAAAATTTTTTCTATTAAACAGTCTATTTTTTATGGCATCTCAATATTTCTGTGTTAAATTCATTATGGTTTTGTTCAGTGTTGGACCTAAGATCTTTTGCAGAAGACAACACCTGCTAGTATTTTTCTTGTAGCTTTTGCTACAGTATTTAAATATAGATATTCATTGATTCTTACTCCACTACCCCTAGGAAGTCCCTAGGTGGAATTCTCATCCAAACCTCTGCAGAAACTGCTGCTTTGGCAGAGTAGTTGTTCATAAAACAAAGGTCAAAAAAGGATGTTAATAAACAGTCCTCAGGTTTAAGGGACTTGTTTAGGATTACATCTTAAATTCCGACAAATCAGATTTAGGAGTTACTGAAAGTGAAATTGATCCATCCCTCATCCAAACTTTGCAACTTTCCTGTTCTGACATCATTTAGATAGTTAGCTGTATTATCAGATTAGAAACCATTGTGCCAGGCTGCTGAAAGGAAAAGGAGGCGAAAAGCTAAACACGGGATGAGTTTTGAACCTTCTAACCTGGCTGAAGTGTGTTGGTCCCTGTTATGCAAAGACCTTCAATCCTCTGCTAAGTTCAGTGGAAATAATTTTCTTGAATGACAGGCTTATTCAGCAAGGATTCAGTTGGTGATTAATCCCCCTTTGATCTAGGGTATTTCACTTAACTACCAGTTACCTCATTCTGACAAAGTGCAACTGAGATTAGGGAGATCGCTAGAACACTACCAGGGTGTGCATTTATTCTCCATAACCTTTTTAAGCAAGGGCCAAGAATGCAATTTATTTTCAGTATTTGAAAATGTAAAGTCCTGTCTACCAAGTTAGAAAGTCAATTGAATACCAAATGAAGTTTATTTCTTACGTAACAGAACAAACATTTCTTTTCGCTTTGCCAAACAATGATGTAAGGAAACACAAGCTTTGAAAAAAGAAGAAACAAAAACTACATTCCAAGTATAGCCTCTCATTTTGTTTCATGTGCTACAGTGTATACGCATTGGCCTTGCGATAACCCAAAAAAAGGTGTGGCTACAGTTTAAGTTGGGAGAATGCTTGTTTTATTAAACTGCATAGTTTCTTCTTATCTCCCATCACCGTCTTTAGAAAATATCATGCTGTGGGAAACCCATGTAGAGAAAACACGTTGTAATACACCATTATCCATCGTAAGAATTCTAATTCCAAAGCTTTCCTTATTTTCCTGTCTCTAGGATGGCTCGTTATATTCCATTAATTGCATTCATTTTCAGAATGAAGATTTTTTTCCATAAACTAAAGGTATCATTGCCAAAATACTTCAGAGAAATTATGTAAAGAGTTTTCTGCCCCTTCTTTACCTGGATACTTCTGCCATGAATTTAACTTGGAAGCATTCTGTGGAACTGTGAGAAAAAAATTAGGATGTTTCATGTTCAGTTTCTGAATTCACTTTTAAAATCTATAATCAGTATCAGTGTATTTATTTTGCAAGCTATCCAAGTTTGGGAATTTATTCCTCAAATTTAAGACCTTTAAAATACATAGACAGAAACCCATAGTTATATATAACAAAATTTGTTTTTTAAAGATTAGATTTAACCCAGACCTGGAATACAATCCCAAGCACTAGGTAAACTGAGACAGGAGGATCACTTGAGCCCAGGAGTTCTAAACCAGTTTGGGCGAGATGATGAGAAACCATCTCAAATAAAATTTTTATTAATAATATTATAGCCAACACATTTTGGTAAAATGTTTTGTAGTTGCTCATTCTAGTAGCATTTTACAAGGATTTAGGCCATTTACTTTTTTTGGCTCAAATCCTTTTGTTTTTTTGGTAT